TTTTTTTCATGAGACAGTCTTGCTCTGTTGCCCAGGCTAGAGTGCAGTGGCTTGATCTCAGCTCACTGCAATCTCTGCCTCCTGGGCTCAAGCGATCCTCCCACCTCAGCCTCCTAAGTAGCTGGGAATACAGGCACTTGCCACCACACTGTGCTAATTTTTTGTAGAATTGAGGTCTCACTGTTTTACCCACACTGGTCTCAAACTCCTGAGCTCCAGCGATCCTCCCACCTCTGCCTCCCAAAGTGTTGGGATTAGCGGCATAAGCCACCACACCCAGCCCTGCAGCATTATTTGTAATAAAGAAACACAACCTAAATGTCTATCAGCTGATGAACGGATAAACAAATGTGATCTATCCATATGTGGAATGTTACTTAGCAATAAAAAAAAAGTACTGATCTGCAACATAGATAAACTTTGAAAACACGCTAAGTGAAAGAAGCCAGATGCAAATACCAAATATTTTATGATTCCATTTATATCACATATCCAGAATCAGCAAATCTGTAGACAGAGGGCAGATTAGTGGTTGCCGGGGCAGAGGGGAATAGGGAGTGGCTGCTAATGGGTATAGGATCTCTTTTTGAGGTAATGAAAACGTTCTAGAATCAGATAGTTGTGATGGTTGTGCAACTTTGAGAATATACCAAAAAGCCCCACTTAACTGTACCCTTAAGAGGGTGGCTATTATAGTTATGAATTATATTGCAATAAAAATTTTCATATTAAAAATGTATTAACTTCAAGGAGAAATACAGCTCTCACTGGACCAGGACTGGATTATTTACAGACCTACAGCAGAGGCTGAATGAGAAAGTAGCTTGGCAAACATGCAATGCCAGTCGATTCTACCTCCACAGGAGCTCCAGAATTTTAACCGGTCTCACCACCTCCACACTACCAGGGCAATTCGATCCACTCCCAACTGCCCCAACTCTCTGCCCTCCAGCCTCACTGGCTATCTTTTAAATCTTCCAATTCACCTAGCCACACTCACGCCCAGCGCCAAGTCTCAATTCTCCCTCTAAGGACATGAGGGTGAGCATTTGACTCCCACCACCTCTCCGCACCCCATTACCAGCATCTACAATGCTCCCCATGGAGGATTCGGGCCTAGCCTGGTGTCTGGCACAAGGCAGGAGCTCCACAAGCATTTCTGGAGTGAACTTGAGAATTGGGGAGAGCCTTGTAGAGGAAATGCCATTTCAGGTGGGCCTGGAAGGGCCGTGGGATCTGTTAGCCAGGTCGGGGAGAGGAAAGCACTGTAGGCAGCCCGAGAGGACTGGGACCTTCGGAGCCTCAAGGGAGACGGAGGGGCTTGGAGACTGAGGATCCCAATCTTATCCAGGGGAGAGGAAGACGTGGCAAATGGGACTGGAGAGGCAGGTAGGGCTTTGAGGGACTGAAGTCCAGTGGGAGCCACTGAACAGTTTCAGGCCAGAGAGTGACACAATCTTCTATAGCATTTTGAGAAGATCCCTCTGGGTGCTTCATGGAGGCTGGATTAGAGGGTGAGCTTCGGAACAATGAAGTGGCTGTGGCCACTGCCCAGGGGACATGGGAAGTCTAGAAAGAAAAAGCTCCCTTCAGACCCTCCTGTTACAGGAGTCAGCAGGTTCCCTCCAGGAAACACCTCCCTCCATTGCACGTTGTTAAATCCACATCAGTATTCCCTTTTACCGCCTGTGTCAATCACCACCGTGGAAAGACGCTTAAGTAAACTGATGGTAACAACAGATTTGGTTAGATAGTAAGAAGTGAGCTTTAAAAGATAATAGGCCAGGCATGGTTGCTCATGCCTGTAATCCCAGCGCTTTGGGAGGGGGAAGCTGCAGCAAGCGGAGATCGCGCCACTGCACTCCAGCCTGGGTGACAGAGTGAGACACCGTCTCAAAAAAAAAAAAAAGAAAAGAAAAGAAACAGAAATAGTAATAAAATCAATAGAGGTCATGCAATATAATAGAAACTCTTGGCTGTAATGTCGGTAACTGGAAAACTTCCCATATAACATGTGACAAAATGTAACTGGAGGCCAGGCGCGGTGGCTGACGCCTGTAATCCCAGCACTTTGGGAGGCCGAGGTGGGTGGATCATGAGGTCAGGAGATCGAGACCATCCTGGCTAACATGGTGAAACCCCGTCTCTACTAAAAATACAAAAAATTAGCTAGGTGTGGTGGCGGGCCCCTGTAGTCCCAGCTACTTGGGAGGCTGAGGCAGGAGAATGGCGTGAACCCAGGAGGCGGAGCTTGCAGTGAGCCGAGATCATACCACTGCACTCCAGCCTGGGTGACGGAGCAAGACTCCACTTCAAAAAACAAAAGATGTAACTGGAAATTGATGGGGCAGTGAGGAGGCTGGGGAGATGAAACAAACTTTCATTTTCTTCTTAATAGGGTTAGGGTTTGCATTTGTTAGGGTTTTCTTTTTTTTTTTTTTTTTTTTTTTTTTTTTGAGACAGAGTCTCACTCTGGCTGGAGTGCAGTAGTGCTATCTTGGCTCACTGTAATCTCCACCTCCCGGGTTCAAGCAATTCTCCTGCCTCAGACTCCCAAGTAGCTGGGACTACAGACGTGTGCCACCACACCCGGCTAATTTTTGTATTTTTAGTAGAGACGGGGTTTCACTATGTTGGCCAAGCTGGTCCTGAACTCCTGACCTCATGTGATCTGCTGCCTCGGCTTTCTAAAGTGTTAGGATTACAGGCGTGAGCCATAGCACCCGGCCTAACTATTGTGTTTTTAGTAAAGGTGGGGTTTCGTCATGTTGGTCTTCAACTCCTGACCTCAGGTGATCCGCCCGCCTCGGCTTCCCAAAGTGTTGGGATTACAGGAATGAGCTATTGCACTGGGCCTGCATTTGGGATTTATGTAATTTAAACATTTTGGATCAAGTGCAGTGGATCATACCTGTAATACCATCACTTTGTGGAGCTGAGGTAGGAAGATCACTTGAGTCCAGGAGTTTAAGACCAGCCTGGCCAACAAAGCAAGATCCAGTCTCTACAAATAAATTTTTTTAAAAAATGAGCTGGATGTGGTGGTGCACGCCTGTAGTCCCAGCTAAGCTCAAAGCTGCAGTGAGCTGTGATTGTGCCACTGCACTCCAGCCTGGGCAACAGGGCAAGACCCTATCTTTTAAAAAAAAAAAAAAAGAGAGAGAGACTGAAATGTTAAATTTATTTATTGGGGATTATTATTGTTGTTGGGTTTTTGTGTCAGTGTTGGAATTTGAGTTGAAACAGTCTGACAACGCTGTTCACTACCTCTAGCAGCTCAGAGTTCAGCAGCTTCCCACTCTGCCTCCAGCTTCCCTCTGGCCCCTCCCCAGGGCTGGCGTGGGGTCCCACAGGGGAGCTCCAGCCCGGTGGCCAGTGGAGGTCAGGAAGAAACTAGAGCTCACCAGTGCCAGGGGTCCAGGGCTGAAGAAAAGCTCTTGGGCTGGGTTCCAAGTGGGCAGGGGGCTCAGCATCTGACTGTTGGGCTGTGTCCCTGTACACATCAGCCCACTGGGACCACAGCGCTTTTCCTGCAGGGGCCCAAGTTTCACTCACCAACCTTTTTTTTGGGTAGGGGGTGGGAACGGAGTCTCCCTCTATCGCCCAGGCTGGAGTGCAGTGGCGGAATCTTAGCTCACTGCAACCTCCACCTCCTGGGCTCAAGTGATTCTTCTGCCTCAGACTCCCGAGTAGCTAGGGTTATAGGCGACTGCCACTACACCTGGCTAACTTTTATATTTTTAGTAGAGACAGAGTTTCACCATGTTGGCCAGGCTGGTCGCGAGCTTCTGAGCTCAAGTGATCTGCCCGCCTCAGCCTCCCAAAGTGTTGGGATTACAGGCATAAGCCAACATGCCCTGCTCACTCACCAACCTCTTCAACGCCCAGCTTAGCACTGCTGGTCTCACGAAGAAGCTGCCACGAACACATGGCTCATTCCCTCCCTCAGGTGGAGACAGGATGACACAGAGGCAGGGGAAAAGTTGGAGCTAGGGGAGGTAGGTGCAAGTGGGCAAAGGACCCCAGCATAGGGGCAAGGTGAAGACAAACTGCCCGTGTCACTATTCTGCACGAAGCTGCATCTGAACCCAAGGCAAGTCCCTGCCCTATTCTCCACCTGTTCTCCTGCTGTTTTTCTCAGACAGTAATTAATCTTCCAAGCAGCACGTTATCCGTGGGAGAAAACTGTGGCCTCTGATGTCTTTGGTCCTGGGTCTAACTTGGGAGGCTTTGGGCAAAGTGTCAGGACACCTTTCATCCCAAGTGGCTGGTCAGCATGACTTAAACAGTTCAGGGAGTTCACTGCAAAGTTCAGCCCTGCAGGCCCGGCTTGATCCAGCAGCTCACAGGTGTCACCCTGCAGCCATCTTCCTGTCTTTCTTTCCACTTCTGTGCCAGCGTCATCTCAGGTCAGCTTTCGTCATGGTGGCAGAATGTCTCTTGCTGTGATTCAAGCAATGAACCTCATGCCTACACATCTTAGAGTCCAGAGGGAGCTAGAAAACATCTTTCCCAGAAGCTGTCTCCCACAAAGGAGCTCCCCAGACTGTCCCTGGATTACAGCCCCTCCCTTGTGCCCAGGCAAGGTAGTAGTTATGGTAATGTCAGTGTGTTCCTGAGCCACCTGCCCCACCCCCAGCCCCAGGGATTCAGCACTGGAGTGGGGGAGGGGAGACGGGTACCCAGAGAATCATCAGGAGAGAGTTGGAGAACAGAGAAGGGTCATGGGAGGCCGCTCCGCTGCCTCTGCAGCCAGAAAACTCCATTTTTTAATTAATTTATTTTTTTTAAGACGGAGTCTCACTCTGTCACCCAGGCTGTAGTGCAGTGGTGCAGTCTTGGCTCACTGCAACCTCCGCCTCCCGAGTTCAAGCGATTCTCCTGCCTCAGGCTCCTGAGTAGCTGGGATTACAGGTGTCCGCCATCACGCCTGCCTAATTTTTGTTTTGTTTTTAGTAGAGCTGGGATTTCACCATGTTGGCCAGGTCTCGAACTCCTGACCTCAGGTGATCCGCCCTCCTCAGCCTCCCAGAGTGCTGGGATTACTGGCATGAGCCACCACGCCGGCCAGAAAACTCCAATTCTTAATTCATTTCCTTACCTATAGTGGGGGTCATCATCTCTACCTTGCTGACGTAAGGCACAGGACAGTTTAAGAGCGACAGTAATGTGCTGCCACCGTCACTGGGGTGCTGTAGCCGATGTGAACTCCTGCAGAATGCTCCCTCCCCGCCTCTTTTCTCATCTGCGAAGGTACGGTCCGGGTCACCAAGCCGCTTGACCACTCCACACAAGGTCCTTCTCTCCGAGGGGCGCGGCAGGGGCCCCAGTTGGCCAGCAGGTGGCAGCGCCGCGGCAGTCCGGATTTGGCACAGCTCGGGAGCGGCCTCCGGGGAAGCAAGGGGTCCGGCCTCTCCAGGCAGCCCCCAAAGCCTCGCGCCTCCCTGGGCGCCCGACTCGCAGATACAGCAGGGCGGGTTCGCAGGTGTGCGGCCTGCACCTGGCGGGGCTCCGGGCTTGGCTGTAAGCTCTGCTGTCGCCATCTTGTCTCTGAGTTACTGCTGAGCAGGAGCCCTGCATTTTCATTTTGCGCCAGGCCTCTCAAACTGTGGTCCGCGGTGCCAGGACTCCTGCTGCCTCAGGATCCCGCCACTTTACTTCCCAGAAATGTGTTGAGCCCGTCCCTTTCCTGCCGTTGCTCAGCCTTCCCGGGGCTCCCTGACCATGCTTGTCTCCAGCTCACTGGCCTTCCAGAAGCCTGGAGAGGACTGCGACCCCACATGGGGAGGGCGGCGAACCCACGCAAGGAAAATGGGGACCCTGCATGGGCAGGGGGCAGCCATGGGGAGGAGGGGGACCACGTGGGGATAATGGGGTCATACGTGGAGAGGAGGGGACCCTACAGAAGGCCTGGGTTGGGCAGTGCTGGGCTTTCGTCGGAGGGTCAGGTGGTGCTGGCGGCCGGCAGGAAGCCCTGGGTAGCGGGTGGCGGGCAGCAGGCCCCAGGCGGCCCCGTGGAGAGCGGAAGGCGCGTGGTGAGGCCCGGGCGGGAGCCCAAGGCTGGAGGCCGGCCCTGAGAGTGCTTCCCGAGCAGCCCCCGGCGGGAACAGAAGAGGCCAAAGTCTAGGAGCTCCGGGGACTTCTCCGCGGTGGCAGAGGAGGGCTGCCATTGTCAAGGCGGCACAGAAGCCTCGGGGGGTTCGGGGACCTTTGCTGGAGGAGCTGCGGTAGGGTAGGGCGGGGGCCGCAGAGGCCTCAAAAGCGAACGGGGAGAGGCCGCGGCACCTGCGGAGCACAGTCCAGGCAGTTTGCCCGGGACACGGGCCTCTCGAGTGTGCCCAGGAAGCGGACAGGGTGACCCGGGTTCCTTGGGCAGTCTGCAGGCCTCCCAGTGTCCGCTGTGCAGACCTGACGCCACCTGCCACCCGCAGGTGCTGAGACCCCGAGCCCCTCTGCCCCTGGGTTGGCAGCCTCTGGGGTGTGGTTTCCCAGGCCGTCTTTTCAGCGGGTGCACAGATTCCCGCCCTCCCAGTGTCCCTTCCTGTGGTCTGGACGTGGGGGCCTGCGGACCCAGCGTGGGGGCGCTGTGGGTGACAGAAGGTGGCGGGGCAGAGACGGCTGCAGTGTGAACTCGAAAGCATGTGGGGGTGGGGGGTGGGGCAAGAGCAGTCGGGTGGTCTGCGTCTGCTCTGTGACTTCCCAGATATACGACCCTGGGAAGTTACCTCACTTCTTTGAGGCTCAGGCTTCCTTCATCTGTAAAATGGAAGAATAGGATCAACGACTTTGCAGGATATCTGTGGGGATTCTTGATATACAAACCATATAAAAGACCTTTCATAAGAGAGGGATGCTTTTCTGCCTAGATTTTATAGCCTCTATCCTTGTATTAAAATTGATTATCAAAATGTTTACTGTTTCCCCTGCCCTTAGAAATAAAAGAATCATGGCCGGGCACGGTGACTCACGCCTATAATCCCAGCACTTTGGGAGGCCGAGGCGGGTGGATCGCCTGAGGTCAGGAGTTCCAGGCCAGCCTGGCCAACATGGGTGAAACCTCATCTCTACCAAAAATACAAAAAAAAAAAAAATCATCCGGGCATGGTGGCATGCACCTGTAATCCCAGCTACTTGGGATTCCCTCTTCTGAAAGGTGGGAGGGGGAGAAGGGACAGGAGAGGTAACACCTCTCTGAGTCCAACTCACGCTTGAACAACATGGGTTTGAACTGTGAGTCCACATGTGTGCCTTGACCACCCCTGAGGCAGCAAGATCAACCCCTCCTCCTCTTCCTCAGCCTACTCAATGTGAAGATGAGGATGAAACCCTTTATAATAATTCACTTACACTTAATGAATAGTAAATTTTCTCTTCCTTATGATTTTTCTTTTTGAGACGGAGTCTGCTCTGTTGCCCAGGCTGGAGTGCAGTGGCATGATCTTGGCTCACTGCAATCTCCACCTCCTGCATTCAAGCAATTCTCTCTAACTCAGACTCCGAGTAGCTGGGACTACAGGCACCCACCACCATGGCCGGCTAATTTTTTTTTTTTTGTATTGTTAGTAGAGATGGGGGTTCGTCATGTTGCCCAGGCTGGTCTTGAACTCCTGACCTCAAGTGATCTGCCCGCCTCAGCCTCGCAAAGTGTTGGGATTACAGGTATTAGCCACCGTGCCCAGCCTTTCTTAATAATGTTTTCTCTATTGTAAGAATACAGTATGTAATACATATAACATACAAAACGTGTTAATCGACTGTTCGTGTTATTGGTAAGGTTCCCAGTCAACAGCAGCCTATCAGTACTTATGTTTTTGGGGAATCAAAAGTTATATGTAGATTTTCAACTACATGGGGGGTTGGCACCTCTAACTCCTACATTGTTCAATAGTCAACAGTACATCTTTGTATAATTCCAACTTTTAGAACTATTTCTATGTTTCATAGTAAAAAAAAAAAAATTAAATTAAATCAACAAGGAATTGAAGAAGGGTGGTAGAGATGACCCAAAATGGAATACGAACAGAAACAAGTGAACCTGCTGTTTTACAAATGAATAACATGCACTCAGGCACCCTCGGGGAGCAGTAACCTATGTAGCTTCAGAAACAGTATTTTGACTACATGCTCTACAATTAGAGGTGAAAAAAATTGCACAGTATTGTGCCATTGGTAGAGAAGCACACATCTCACATCGAACTCACATCTCTCTTTTTCACAGAGATGTGAGTTAGAAATCCATGAACTACTTGATGTGGATTCTGGCACTGAGCAAGTCTATATACTGCGGCTAGCAAGAGCCAGATTTCTCACCATCAGGAAAATGGGCTAAAAATAAGGAAAGGGGACAGACGCAGTGGCTTATGCCTGTAATCCCAGCACTTTGAGAAGCTGCGGCAGAAGAACTGCTTGAGGTCAGGAATCCAAGACCATCTAGGGCAACATAGCAAGACCCCTATATCTACAAAAAAGATAAAACATAAAAAATTTAGCCAGGTGTGGTGGTGCACCGCTGTAGTCCCAGCTACTTGGGATGCTGAGGCAGAGGATCACTTGAGCCCAGGAATTCAAGGCCACAGTGAGCTATGATCGCACCACTGCAGTCCAGCCTGAACAACATAGTGAGACCATAGCTCTAAAAAATTAATAAGAAGAGTAGGCTAGAATAAACATTATGGTGTTGGACTGGAATTGGAGACATCACTGTGAACTCCTGGTTTTTAAAATATATACAGATATAGAAAGCGCTTTAGAAATGCACATGTGTGGACATGTATTTCCTAACTCTATCCACTGTTAAGGGCCTAAAAGTACTAACACCTGAGACCAGTGAACTCACCCAGCACCCAGATCTTGTTTTTTGTTGTTGTTGTTTTTTGGTTTTGTTTTGAGATGGAATTTAGCTCTTTCACCCAGGCTGGAGTGAAGTGGCCCAATCTTGGCTTACTGCAACCTCCACCCCCCGGGTTCAAACAATTCTCCTGCCTCAGCCTCCTGAGTAGCTGGGATTACAGGTGCACACCAGCAGGCCCGGCTAATTTTTGTATTTTTAGTAGAGACGGGGTTTTGCCATGTTGGCCAGGCTGGTCTCAAACTCCTGACCTCAGGTGATACACCTGCCTCGGCCTATCAAAGTACTGGGATTAAAGGCATGAGCCACTACACCCGGCCACATTTTGGTTTTGAATGCTCTTCTCAATAAAAGGCACCAAGACTCTGGAAGAAATGAGTATTTCCAGGGCTATGGCAAGGAAAGTACAAGCTGAGCTTCCAACATCTTGTGGAGCCAAAAGGCAAAGCCTCTGACAAGCTGTGGGGAAAGGCATCAGAACATCAGCATGGAGGGGACAGTAGAGGGAGGGGACAGCCTGCGAAGCCTTCAGAGAGGAGGGAAATGAGAAGAAGACTTCAAGGGCGAGGAAAGGGTGGTGGTGTCAGATGTTGCTGAGAGTATGATCAGATCTAAAAACCATCTTTCTAGAAGCTTTTGCTGCAGATGTCCCTGGTGTCCTTGAGAAAAGAGTTTTCATGGAGGGGGAGGAGGCACGACAGTTGTCACAGGTGCACGGAGTAGCTGCAGATGAAGAATGGCAGTCAGGGAACTGGGGGACTATTTCAAGACCTTTGGCTGTGAACGGAAGGAGAGGGCAGGATTGGAAGTGGGCACATGCTCAGGGAGAGTCTTGGTTCTGGATTCTCTTGAGAAAATGGCAGCCTCAACAGGAGCAAGGGCAGTAGAGACAGGCTAGCTGCTCAGTCAACCCATTCCCTCTTCTTCCTGGATGTGTAGCTGCAGTGCCTGCCCAGCCTCCTTGGGACTAGAGGTGTGGCACAGGACCATGAGTGGTGAAAACATATCTAGCCCGGCCTGCACCAAGTGCTCCCACTTGTTCTCTCCTATCTACTTGCTGGAGTAGTAATTGACTCAGGGAAGAAATTTCTAGGGAGCAGGTGACAGACGGGCTGGGAAGACCAGAGATTTAGGAATAGTGGCAAGAGTAGTAAGGTAGTCCAAGTGGGATAGGATGCATCCTCCTTGTTCTCTCCTTTCTACTTGCTGAATGAAGATCTTTCCAATGACCCAGAACAGGACAGAGGAGCAAAACAGAGGAAGCCTGGGTCCCCAGATGACCACACAGAAGGCCGCCTGCCCAGGAATACCCCACTCTGAATGTAGCATGAGTGAGAAATAAACACTTACTGTGTTGCACTGCTAAGAATTGGGGTCCATCCACTATAGCAGGTAGAGTTAACCTAATAAACTGGCTAAGGACATTCTTGTACATCCATGCAATGGAGCACTACAGCTATAAAAACAAAGGGAGCAGCTGTTCATTACAGATATGAAACGATCTCCAAAATACTTTCAATGATAAAAAGGCAAGGTATAGCAAAATGTGTTATAGCTTGTTGCTTTGTGTCAAAAATCGGTAGGAGGCCGGGCATGGGGCTTACGCCTGTAATCCCAGCATTTTGGGAGGCCGGGCCAGGCGGATCATGAGGTCAGAAGATCGAGACCATCCTGGCCAACACAGTGAAACCCCGTCTCCACTAAAAATATAAAAAATTAGCCAGGCATGGTGGCATGCACCTGTAGTCCCAGCTACTTGGGAGGCTGAGGGAGGAGACTCGCGTGAACCCGGGAGTTGGAGGTTGCAGTGAGCAGAGACTGCACCACTGCACTCCAGCCTGGGCGACACAGCGAGACTCTGTCTCAAAACAAAACAAAACAAAATCAGTAGGAAAACATAATTCCTTGTCTTAAACAGTGGAAGACAAGAAGAAGCCAATAATATTGGCTCCTTCTATACAAAGGAGCTGGGTAGCTAGATGATGAGTGGGAGACTTCCATTTGTACCCAGAATTTTGAATAGTGTCAATTTTATACATTTTTAAAAATAGAAATGTAAAGGGAGTGTGCCAGAGATGTCGGCATTTTATTACAAGAGCCAGTAGAAACAAAATTTCTAAAAACACAGAGAGAAAGCAGACAGCGGAAGGAGGGAAGTCCTTGAGCCCTTGAGGGCAGGGGATGTAGACTGCAGTGTAGGGAGAGGGAGCTGCCACAGTCAGGAGCAAGGCCACTGAGGACAGGAGGCAGGACGCTGGAGACGTCACAGCAGGCAAGCGTGTAGGGTGAGTATACGGGAGCAGGAAGATAGTGGGGAGGTTTCTCTCAAATGGCTTTTATCAGGAGATAAAGTTACCTAATAAAAATGAGATGGCGGCTCTGACTCCAGGGAAGAACAGGAGGACGGGAAATAGAAGCTTGTAGGGGAGCACTGCTGGCCCAGATGAGACTGGAGCCACAAGCTTAGAATGAAATCAAGCTGCCCCTGAGGTGGGGTTTCTGCCAGCACCCCAAAATAGGGGAGGAGCATGGGACATATATTAATTGACTCAGGGTAGAAATTTCTAGGGAGCAGGTGACAGAGGGGCTGGGAAGATCAGAGATTTAGAAATAGTGGCAAGAGTGGTAAGTTGGTCCATGTGGGATAGGGTGCATCCGAAAGGAGATTTTGAAGGGGACCGATGGATTTGGGAGAAAATAGAGAAATCAGAGAGCTGGAGATGTTATTGAGGGGAAAAGAACCTAAGAATAGGGCAAGTAACTGAGTAAGGAGTTCCATTCACATTGTCACGGGAGAAGGAACACTTACAGACTTTTTTTTTTTTTTTTTTGAGAGAGAGTTTTGCTTTTGTTGCCCAGGCTGGAGTGCAATGGCGCGATCTCGGCTCACCACAACCCCCACCTCCCA